AATTTTTTTTTCTAAACATTTTACTTTTAATAATTATTTCTTGAAGTTGTAAATTACTAGTATTACTACTATTTAAAAATGTTTTTTTTTTTTATTTTATTAAATTTTTTTCCTTAAGGAGGGGGGGAGGTAATTAATTATTGACGTAATTTTATAGGGAGAGTTTCTGAAAGTTTGACAAGTTGTTGACAAGGCGTAGGTAAAAATTGCCAGGTAATCAGGACCGTTCCGAAGAGGTCTTTCATGGGGGGATGTATGCATTTTTTTTACCAACAAGAAACACCAAAACAAAAAAGAAAAAAAAAAAAGGTCCTCAATTTGCAATTTGCCAACTATAGTTGCAAAACACCCTCAATTTGAGGGGGTTGCGAACTTTATATGGTCGTAATTTTTGAACATTAAATTACTTTATTCTGAAATTTCAAATTTCTCGATGAATATAAGTCTAGTTGAACATAGTACAAAAAATATTCCATCAACTTGTTGCTCTCACGTTTGGGGCAGGGGGGCTAAGATTTTGCGGTTTCTTGTTCCCATTCTCCTATCACAGTAATTTTTTTTAAAGAATTTTTTTGTCATACATATTAACGTAAAAAAATTTGAAATATTCTTGTTGTTTATAAGTTGATTATTTCAAACATTAAAAACCTTCCTACGCTACTGATAGCTATAAAACTAATTAGGAAAAGTATTTTAGAATAAGTTCAAAATCTATCAATGTAGAAAAATTGTTTATTTTGGCCCAAATATTTATATACAGTTACATTTACGGCAGTTTAAAAACGTTTTAAAGGGTTTTTCAATCAATTATTTACAATTACGTTTAAATTAATCTAAAGTGTAGCACTGTGGTTAATTATTAAATATCTAAATATTAACATTAAACGTAGGAAAAGAAAAGCAATAAAAAATAACTTTTTCTTAAACATTAAGTTGTATAAATAAGGAGTAAATAAAGCAGGAATAAAATTATGCATAATTATAAATTTATGCTTAATAATGAAAGAAACGTCTTTCATTAGTTTTCATAAATTTTAACCAAATGTCGCGTCACAACTCAAAGCAAGGTTTTGAATTTTAACGTGTTTTTAGTTTACGGATTGTGACAAACACGTATCCACTTAGGTTTTTATTCTGAAAAAGAAACTAGATGTGCCGGTTGGGTTCTGAGCATCAAAATTACAAATTTTCAGTATAGTACAATTATGTAAAACATAAACGAGACACAGTGGTACATAATGAAAAAAAATTAACCCTCAAAATCACCATAAAAATGCAATTGTAAAAGTATAAAAATGAGCATTTTTTTATTTAACACATGACTCTTTGAAATGAAACCAAAATAAAATTCAACTCCTGTATATTCTTAATACTAAATAAATTTGGTACAGATATCAGTCTATGGTGTTAACAAAATGAAAATTGCCACTATTCCCTAGAGTCTACATTGAATTTCAAAACAATTTCACCTTCAAGAATTGGGTAATTTGTTCTTAGCTTGAGAAAAACCAAAGTGAGATTATTCAAAGTGAGACATATTTCGTACTTTTCAGGATTCCTAAAAATTTTTTTAAATACAAAACTTATACACGGCCACAATTTTCGATTTTTTCCTAAATTCTAAGCAAAATCGACAACAACCTACACTGTCCTAATTCACCCTTATATTGTATTTTTTTTCCTATTAACTTGAAATTAATCAAAATATATTAGTTAACGTTAGGTGTATGTTCTGTTATTTCTCACAGTTTCATCAAATTTCTTATGCAGCAATATAGTAAAGTTTCGCAATTACATGTCTTGTCTGACCACGCATTAAACATTTTGTTTCGATAACATGACCACAGCTGTTTGCATTTTTGACATATTCGGCGTTTCAAAATTTAGCGGAAAAAACTAAACTATAGAAGAAACATTTTTAAAAAATTGAGAGAGAAAAGCCTCTGTGAGCATTTTGGCATGCATATTAAACAAAATTTGGTAAAATCTATCGTGTCGTTTTTAGAATGCGTACGTTATGATTTATTGCATTATTATCTTGATTTAACAAAGAATAACAAAGAATTATTTAACAAAAATTATTTCGGTAAGATAATGCTATAAATAATATAGCACGTTCAATCACCAATTACTAAAAGCAACATTTAATTCATGCTTTGACCTGGACAATTACCCGACATAAACCCGATTAAAAATATATACATCTGAATGAACTAGTTATGAAATTCTGAAACAATTAAGCTGTAAATCTAGTATATAATAACCTAAAATACTACACACACACACACACACAAACACACACACATACACACAGACACACACACACACACACACACACACACACACACACAAACACAGACACACACACACACACGCACAATAAAAAAAATAAAATTAAAAACTTCTACCTCTTTTTCGCGCATAGAATTTGAATCTTCTATTTCCATATTAATTTCTTCTAACAAATCAGGTTTTGTGATTAGTTCTTCAATATCAATATCTAAATTATCCTCGTTTTCCATTATTTTATATATATTTTTTTACAGAAGTTTATCTAAGCCTTTATAAATGTTTTTTTACAATTTGTATCGCTAAAAATTCAGCATATGCGATTCTCCATAATACCTATTGTTTAATAATTAAATTGCCTTCCCATTTGGAAAGTTAATAACTCGCCCTCTCAGTTAAAAAACATGTACGGCGTAATTACAGGTCGTTTTATTTTATGACTGTTAATAAGGTAGTGTGTTTTTCCAATTAAGACTGACTTTAATTTCAAAAACGTATTCAAAAACGTATTTAAAAACGTATTCACATATTGCAGAAAATAGTTTTAATTTTATAAAAATTTTTTTTAATTATTATTTTTTTTAATTTATATAAAAGCATTATTTTAAGTTTTTTATAACTTATATTAAAGTATTATTAAATTTTTTTTTTTTTTTATATTAAAGTATTATTTTCATAAAAAAATTTTTTTTTTATCATTTTAATTCTAATTTTACAAAAAATATACCAAATAACGTTTATTCAAAAAAATAGCCTCGCTGACATATTAATTGATTTCCGTTTTATTTTTTGCTCAACCCAACTGTTATTCATAATTATTTTATTAATTTATATGTTATTTGGGCAACTTTCTATAAAAGGTTGCATAAAATTGCTTATGATGATCAGTTTAGCCTTTTTGTTTTGTTTTGTTTTGAGTTATTAAGGTGCTCCAAAAAGACTCAAGCACAGCACCACGGAAGAGCCTTTAAAAGGAAGATTAGGCCTCCTTTCTTACCAATGTCGCTTACTTGGCCAGAGCAGTCATCGAACGTCTTGGTTATAAACCAGATTCCTAATCACTGCGCCATGGCAGCTAACTATTATTAAAATTAATTTATAAAGTTTATAAAATTAATTTAGAATTTATATAACTAATTATATTTAAAGTCTTTTTAAATTTTTGATAAGGTCTATGGTGATTTTTGGATGATTAAAAGTTAAAATACACAGAAACGGGTCAAAAAGAAGTAAGCGAAACTACAAAATGGATAAGTATGAAGGATGGCTCAATAATCAGTAACAGAGAAATAATAAGAAAATTTGAAAGGATTCTGAGAATCGCGTCAGAAACACCCTAAAATATTTAAAACAACACGTTTAAGAAGTTTTTTCAGGGTATTTCTTATCACAAAAACATTCTTAAAACAATTCGTCAAGTAAGAGCCGATACATGGTTAAATTGAAGTAAACTTAACAACACATTTAACGAAAATCGTAAAAAAAGTCTTTCTTTAAATACGATTGAAAAAAGTTTACTTAAGAAAAAATGGTCATGTTTATGACGTTATTAAAAAACACATACTAAAGACCAGAGGATCACTCTCAAGATTAAAGTGGTTTAAGGAGAAAACTCGGTGGTCTTTGGAAAAGTGAAACCAAGTAATTTTTAGTGATTTAAGTTTGAAGCAATTTTTAGTGATTTAAACTTAAAACTTATCGACGAATATAAGTCTAGTTGAGAATAATACAAAAAATATTTCATCAACTTGTTGCTCTCACGTTTTGGGAGGGGAGGGGGAGGCAAAATTTTGGGGCTTTTTTGTTTCCATACTCCAATCGTCGCAATATTTGCAAAACATCCTTTATTTGACATATGTATAAACATATAAATGTTTGGAGTTTGCTCCATGTCTGGAAGTTAGCTATCTCAAAGACTAAAAAGTGCTTGCGCCGCCCCTGCTTCTGGTAGACTTAAGTGAGTTTCTATATTTAAAATTCTTGCTTCTGACAATAGATTTATTAGTTCTTGAAAGAAAAATCAGATTGCTATTTTTTCTAGAGATTGTATTGAAGATTTAAGTTTAAAGACTCAAATAGAAATTGTCTGTTAACCTGTGATTTTTTTGCATTACCGTTCAAAATTGATACTTCAAAATATATTTAAAAAAGTAATCTGGATCATATCGATTTTGTGCTTACTGAAAAAAGTCTTCTATCATCGTTATCTAAACCAAAAAAATCTGCATGAGCTATGATTCCTAAAAAGGATGCTATGATTCCTAAAAAGGATGATAGTATTCGATTGGATCTTGATCAGATGCTTTAATAATATATAACTCAAACAATATATAACTTGTATAATATATAATATTCAATAATATATAACAATATATAATATATAACTTCTTTCATATGAAATGCATGTTGATATTAGTTTTACCGCATTTGGTGTATATTAATAGCTTCTACCATTAAATGTAAAGCATACATGCGGAACAACATACAAATTGCTAACTTAAAAAAAAGGGGACATGTCCTGGAAAAGTTCACATAACATGTCCCCTTTTTCAAGTTAGCAATTCATACAGAAAGTCATAGCGACATATCTCAGTCTCTAAACTCATACCTGCTGTTACCTCTTTCAACCTGTGTTCTGGTTTAACTAATTTCGTTGCATTAAAATCAAATTCTTATATTTATATTGTATTTCAAAAATATCTGATTTTTAATCATCTGTGAATTTTTCCTGAATCAGACAGTTTAGGATCTCAGTCATAAAGAATGCTCATTAAAATAATTTTACTTTGTTTTTAATGCAAAAACAATGAGAATGTACCAAAGCCTATCATCATATCCACAAATCTTTCAAAAACATTAAATGGTATTTTATATTGATTAGTTACATGAAAACTAATATATAGGGGAGAGTTGCCATAATTGGAACAGCGCCCTTATTGGAACACATGCATTTACTTTAAAAAAAAAAAAAAGAATTATGACTATATTTTGGTAAAACGCATTATTTTCTACGTTTTGACACATTTTGATAGTTATTTTTTCAAAAAATACATGTGTACCATTGAACTAAAGTTTTTTTGTGTCCCTTTATTTTCGGAAATCTAATTTTGTGTTCACACTATTTTGATTGCACTGGTTAAACTATACTGCTATAGATTATACGGTTTTTTTTTTGTTTAATTCAATGGAATTGGAAATGCAAAATAACAACAATTAAAATAACAAACTTATTTTATAAGTTGCTGCGAGATAATGCAGTGATATAACAAAAGTAGTCCTAAGTTTCCTTAATTGGAACTATAAAGCTTTTCATACTTAATCAGTAATAAAATCAAAGGATTGTAGAAATAGTTCAGGCGCAGTATGAATATACTCAGTAACAACCAAAAACCTCAAAAATAATCCTTTATTTAGTGATTTGTATTCAATAAATTTAGAGAGCGTCAGAAAAATTGAAGCTTTTAGACAAATTTTTGTTTGTCGACTTTCAATTTGCTTGAGTAATATTAATCCTATTATAGCTTTTCGAACTGTTTAAATTTTGACTGTAAAAATAAAAATCACTTTAAATCAATTTTTGTTGATTTGGAAAATTTTGAAAATGAACAATTGCACTAATTTAAAACAATAAAGTTTCGGCTTATAAATAATTTCAAAACAAACTAAACTTAGATGTGAAAAAAATTAAATCAAACCTTTTTGGTTTTGCTGATAAAACAAATAACATGTACCTACACGTAACAGAAAAAGATAAAAAATTTTTACTAACTCATGAGAAAACCACTAAAATTTTAGAATATGCAATTAATTTAGAAGCCCAAAGTATCGCTAAAAATATTAACCTTAAAAACAGAATTGAATCAAATACCCCCTAAAGATCGTAAACCAAATTTTCAAAACAAACTTTCTTATACTCATTGGTTCCCTCAAAAAGTGAGATTAAACATATAAGCAAAATTAAATTTGACAAAATAACTAATATTCTTAGAAATAAATTAACTTTACAACAGTGGAAAAATACCCTAATGTTATAAATTGGTTCTCCATAATCGAAAATAAAAATGACTACACAATTGTTTATTTTGACATTAATGATTTTTACCCCTCATTAAAGGCAGATATTTTAGAGAAAACAATTGAGTTTGCTAAAATCCACACTGTTATTTCAGAAGAGACAATGTGTATAAAAAAACATTGCAGAAAAACCTTACTTTATTTTAATAAGGGAACGTGGGAAAAGAAAATCATACATGACTGCTTTGATGTAACAATGGGTAGTTATGATGGAACAGAAGTTTGTGAATTTTTGGGACTACATATTTAAACTTATCAAGTAAAATAATTAATATAAATAATTTAGGTCTTTATCGTGATGATGGTTTAATAGTAATGTGTAAAAAATCTGACCCACAGCTCGATAAAATTAGAAAAGATATAATTTTTTTTTTAATCTTGGCTTTCAAATCAAAATAAGTGCAAATTTAAAAATTGTGAATTTTCTTGATGTCAGCTTTAAACTCTCTGAAAATTCATATGAGCCTTTCAAAAAACCAAATGATGAGTTTGTGTATATTAATATTAACTCAAATTATCCACCCCGAATTGTAAAACAAATCCTAATTTCAATTAATAACAAGCTAAACCAAAACTCCTCTAATGGAAATGTAATCAATTCCTTTAAACGAAATTTCGAAAATGCCCTTTAAAAAAATGGATTTCAAAATTTTGAACTCAAATTTGACTCTAAAAAAAAGAATCAAAAAAAAAAAAGGAAATAGAGCTACAAATGTAATTTGGTTTAACCCCCACATAGCAAACATTTTTCCACTCACATAGAAAATGTATTTTAAAAATTGGTCGATAAACATTTCCTGCCCACAAATAAACCACATAAAGTTTTAATCGGAATAAAATTAAAGTTAGCTACAGTTGCACAAAAAGTATGGAAAGAATTATAAAAGGTCATAATAATACTTTACTAAACAAAAAAAATCCTTAATGATTAAATATCGTATATAAATATAACAAAAAAAAACAACAATTGTCCAATCAGTGGAAAATATTATCAAAAAACGTGGTATATAAATGTGTTATTTTCTCTAAGAATGTATCTGAAAAACAATATATTGGCTTAACAGAGGGTGAATGGTGATGATTTTGTAACGAATTGGTTCATCTTTAAAACACCAACTGCATATAATGGGGAACGGGAAGGGGAGGAATGAAGTTGAGTAGCGACGTAAGATATAGAGTTTG